AGAAGGGACAAAAGGGATTGATTTTACAGATACCCAAAGCAGGTGCCTCTTGGCACAAGTGCACTTCTTTCCACTGATTCCTAAAAGGGGGGGGGGGGAGAGATTGCCAGCCATTGGCATTTTAAAGAAATCCTGCCTGAATCTCTTTTAATGTAATCTTACAGTGGCTGACAATAAAAAATTACCTTCCCACTGAAAGCTCTGCATTTGCCATCCTTCCTTGTAGTGGTCTGTTATTACCTTTCACCAAGTAAGGACGGTTTTCTTTGCACAACTCGCCCCTCCCCCAATCTCTACAGTCTTTGATGATAGTTTGTTTATTTTCCCAAAAAAATAGAACCTCTCTCTATGTGTGATTATACGTGATAAATCAATCATCCCATTTCTATGAGACTCTCTGTCAAAGAGCATCTTCTCCTATGCAAACCTCCCATTGCTTTTAGACAGCTGCAGAGATCCTGCTTTAAGTCCCATCCCACAGGAAGTCCTGATTGGCTTCCATGTGCAGCTGGGCTTTCTTAGTAATGGCCCCAGAACTCTAGAATGCCCTGCCCCATGAAATGCCTCCGGCCCATGACTATAAACTTTCCAAAGGAGACTGATGCTTATATTAGCCTTTTATAAAGTTCTTTAATTTCCTGCCCTGACATCCTTGCCATTGTTTTTATGGTGAATTGTTTGTATCATTTAATGATTTCATTGTTTACTCTGTTTTCTGCTTTGTGAAGTGTCTGAAAACAAATACATTTTGTAGACTTTACTGGCTACTACTAGGATACTACCCATAGCATTTGTATCTCCTTCTGAAATATCTACATTGCTAACAGCACATTTTGGAATTTAAAAAGCCACTTGAATTATCTTGAGTATTTCCAAACTTTGACGGGTCTTTCATAATCTAACAGATACTTTCAGTTCTTCCTTTTTGTGAATGTACTTTTCCTGTGAGATTCACAGTGTCCAGATGTCACTTTCTAACAAGATTTAAACAACAGCAACAATGTTGCCAAAGAAGATAGAGGAGCTGCTGCCCCAAACCTATTTCTTGGGGTAATTTGCCCCATTGTTCCCAATGGACTTCTGTCAAGTTAAGCAGCATAAAACTTTGTACTTAGGCTGTCATACACTTCTATTTAGTTTCATAATACCTGGTTATTAATCTCTCATTGAAAAGTGAGTATTTTCCCTGCTTCTTGGCATTTTTCTGGCTTTTCTTCAATCTTTCCCAAAACTGCTTTCATGCAAACTTTTAGAAAAAATCACCACAAAGTCTGGACATCTGCTGTATGGGTAGGGACGTTCCTGTTTTCCCGATCTCACCCACATGGCTGCTATCTTCCCTGCCAGTGTCCCCATGGAGGCCATTTCTACCTCCTGACACTTTTTTGATTTTGTTTTAATCAGCAACTGGATATTATCATTTATTTTATTTATTTATTTTTGGATTTATATCCCGCCCTCCCCGCGGACAGGCTCAGGGTGGCTCACATTATTGGCATTATAATGCCACAACTATCTATGTATCAAGTTTTCTAATTTTTCAGCTTTCAATTTTAGAAGTACCTAATTTCGCTCATTGTGAGAAGACATATCTTTGCAATGAATGGGGCGAAAGACTTGCAGAGTATTCAGAGAACCTGATATAGAGATTGTTGTAACACTATAATGATATAACAATATTATGATGGACCATCAAAGGGTTTTTTTTTTGGTAAACAAATTTTATTTTTTCAGGAATACAACATGTAAGATTAAATCATTTCATTCTATCAATTGTCTACCCCATTCCCAGTTCCTCCCCTCCCTCCAATGGCTTCCCACAATGCTTCCACCCCTGCTTCAAATTACTTCATATCATCAACAATATCAGTTTCTTATCATTACAATCTAAAGATAACATCATTTGACTTAATATTGATCTAAACAATGGACCATCAAAGGTTAATGCCTAGCAGAGCTTGAGAACCTTTCAGTGATAGGCTGTTCAAATGGAATTCTGTTGAGAGAGTCAGTTAAAGAATGAGAGCTGAGAACCGACAGTTGAAGAAGAGACAGTTAAGCACTCTGAGGACTGGAAAGAAGGCAGAGTGAGAGGATCAAGGAGGATCCTCATTCCAGCCGAAAAAGGGAAATAACTTCTAGTAAAGAGGAGTGATCCCTGGTTTGTGTATAAAGAAGGATTTTGGGAACTTGATTGTCTGTTCCTGCCTTCTGACCTTTACATGCTTGAGCATTTAAGCAGAAACAGAAAAGAAAGCCTCTCTTCTTAAAGTTTTAAAGACATTGTTGAATAGCAGAAACACTTACTAGTTGGCAACAAATTATCTGGTCAGGTCAGTGAAATTCAGAAACAGGTCAGTGAAACTCCAAAACCTATGCTTGAGTGTTTAAGCAGAAACTGAAAAGAAAGCCTCTCTCCTTAAAGTTTTAAAGACCTTGTTGAATAGTGGAAACACTTACTTGTTGGCAATAAATTATCTGGTGTATGTGCTAATGCAAAGTTAACTCTGTTTTATTATCTGTTCACCTCAGACATCCTACACCTGATTCCACCTGACCCTTTCTCCTCCAAGTTATATAAAACATTTTGTTTATTTTGAACCTTCAAAAGTCTCTCCTGTGCCATTTCAGAAGCTGAATATAAGAAGGTGATTTTGTCTCTTCCCTCAGTTCCCTGGGACAGCATCTTTCTATATATATAAAATAAACTGACTGGGTGGGTCAGCCATAGACAAACAAATAAGAAGAAAAAAGATGAAGGGGCTGCTCCACAAGAAAGAAGACAGAAGTGGAAACTTGTGTGTGAGGGAGGGAAGAGGGTGAGATCATCATAAATATTCAATCACTGCTTGGGGAAAAAAAACCCTGAGAAAGCTCTGGTGGTGTGGGTGGGGGCCCTGCTTTGGGACTGGGGCAGGTAAACTTGCCCTATGGAAGCCCCAGTACTGCTGTGATGTATCAGCAGCTGCAGCAGTAATGGAGAAACTGCACAAACCTGCCTATGTGGAGAATATCTATGACAATGACTCTAGGTTCTCCTCAGGCATAACACAACTATAGTCCTATTAAAGAATCTTTGCATCTATTTTACCTTTTAGTACACAGAGACAATATTAACTAACAATGGAATATAAAAAGACCCACAGTAAATTCTACATAGAAAACTATAAAAGTTTTCCTCAAGTCTGCTTGTCCCCAGGTACAAAAGAAAAGAGTAACAAAAAGTTATTTTTTCATTCAAATGTGTCATGTACTCTTCCATAACTAGCGATTTCTCTCCCTCCCTTCAGACATCCCTAACTACTTTTTCTTTAAATGCCTGGCTGTATGGGGTTACTAGATTAGCCCAGAGTGCTGACTGGGATCTCATGAGATCTTGGTCCACATTTTTATTTTGAAACTGTGCTGTGTGTGTGTACCCATGAACATACTGCTTCAGAGTCTTAAAATGCACCATTGTTTTTAAACTTATTAGAATTTTCTGCAAAGTCTGTTTGTTGAAATGTCTCTCCTTTTTGTAACTGTTGCTGATGTGTAGATTTATTGATCTGTTCTCTGAGGCAAACTTCAGAATAAATATATGAGGAATTCTTGACATGTGGACTAGAATGTGTATTTTTCATTTGCCATTTTTAGTTTACTCTGGCTGCCCCATCTTGTGCGTTTTCTCTAAGAATAAAATTGTACTGAGTAAAGTGAGACTTCTCTCACAACAAAGGCTTAGGCTTGCAGTCTTACCTACACAGTGTGCCTTTGCTTTCTTCTTTGCTTAAGGCTTTTTTTAAAACCAATTTTTTATTGATTCCAACAAAATACCAAAAGAAAAAGAAAAAAGAAAACAAATCTTTACAACCTTGAAACCTTTGAATCTCTAACTCCTTACAGACAATTTTCAACTAGACTATTCAAGTGTTCTTGTCAACCCATTTGTATAGTTTCACCCAAGTATTCACCTCTATCACGAAGCTTTTGAGTTAAACTGTCCATTTCAGTCACCTCCAGTTCTTTGCTTAAGGCTTTTGTGCTTGACAGAAACACCACAGATCTTTAGGTGTAGCTGCAGAAAAGATATATTTAGCTTTTCAATTACAGCTTACTACACCCCATGGTGTTGAAATAACTGGTTTTGTTCATCCTGTTTCTTAATATTTTCTTGTGACCATCTGACTTCAGTGGAACTTGACTAGCTGCTGTCATAAGCAAAGTTACAGAATGGAAGATGTCGAGTACATCTTATTCACCATGGTATGTATCACCACTCACTCACACACACACACACACACCTCCAGTTATACCAAGTCATTTATTTAAATTAAGTAAACATTTTTGTCCTCCCTGATCTCTATGGACTTAAGGCAGCAATACCACTGGTCCACCTAGGCCTGTATCCTCTATTCTAGCTGGCAGCAGTGCTTCACTGCCTCAGCCTGAAATATTTCACCTGTTACATACTACCTTAGCTCCTTTAGGTAGAAGTGCTAGAGAATGAACTAATGCAGTGACACATAGGGGAAACCAATTAGGAACCATTTAGAGTGGAGAAATGTTGGGAGGACACTGTAGGGTTGACAACAACTCCTTGGGAAATACCTGGAGGATTTAGGGTGGAGCTTGGGGAGGGCAGGTTTTAGGGAGGAAAATACTTCATCAGGGTATAATGCCATCTCTTGCTCATGTTCATTCTGAAAGAACCAGTAGCCAGTAGGATACTTTTATAATAATGAGCACATCAGTCTTTTTTTAGGCAGCTGGATTCTATTATGCCTATGTATCCTTCTTCTTGCTGTTTTTATTGTTATTATTAAACGTATGTGATGCCTTCAGAGTGCAAGAAAACAGGTCCCTGCCTTGAGCTGCTTACAGTCAACAGTTTGACACAGAGGGACAATGGGGGAGGTGAGGAACTACAGAAGGAAGACTATCAGTTCATTCCTTTTGCGTGTACTTAAGCTTAATATCAGTAGAGAAAGTGGACTAAAGGGCTGCACCACAAAAGCTTCATGGAGAAGGCAGGTTATAAGGAGGAATATGAAGGAAAAGGGAGGGGAAGCATCATGCAGATTTTTGGAGAGGCAGCTGCCGATCTAAGGAGCAGCAAAGGAGAGAAGGTAGAATTGTTTGAGGAAGCAGGAGACCTCCAGAAAATGGAGGGTAGTGGAACTGAAAGAGTGAAGGTCTGGGGCAGGAACTGGCATGTAAGAGCAAACAGATAAGGGGCAGCAGATTCATGGAAGATTCTGGTAGCTGGATACTGGAGTGGCCAGGAAGACAATGAAGAGATTTAGAGATGGTCATCACATGGTCCAAACAATGAGAGGAATGAATGGTTTTATTATCAGAGAACTGAATAGAGTGGAGGGTAACACTGGGAGCAGAAAGCATGATAAGGGAAGACCAACAAGCAGGAGGCTCCATATTACAAACGTATGGTGTTCATGTGTCTACTGAGTGAACAGATGGAGAAGCCATAAGTTTGTAATGCTGCAAAGGCAAAGAGTCTTGACATGCTGAACAAGCTGAGCAAGCGAGAGAGACTTGTGAAATGCACGACTAACACTTCTTGCCTATTTGCCAGAATGGATGACATTGGTTCCTTCAGTGGATATATGAGGAAAGGAAGTTCAGTTTGGACTCATGTAAAGTTCAGTCTTGAATTTCCACAGTTCTTTCTTGGGAATTAGTGGTTTTTTGGGGGGAGGGGGTGATCAACAGCGTATATAGTATCTGAAGACATTGCTGAAAACCTGCTAACTTCAGTCTGTTTTATTTATGAGGAGATTTTGTTGAGGCCTTTGTGCATTTCAATGTCTTTCTTTTTGCTCCTGAATTTCCTCCTTCTCATTCAGCAGTCTTTCCAGATACCAGGTATGTTATGCTTCATTTCCATTGCTGCTGTAAGCTCACCAGTAAGGGAATGGTATCCTCCCTAACTAGCTACTATAAAACTGACTATTGAAAAGTTTAAGAAACAGCATTATTAAACTTAATTTCTATGAGGTCTTTCAAAGATGAGGAAATGATGGATTGCATGTTTCAGTTGCATATGTCAATAAAAAAGCAGGTTAATGGTGCAATAAACAATGCCAAAGACCATTTACTGTAGTGATTTTATCGCTGCAAATAAAAGGATTTCCTTCTTTTTTTAATCGATCAGTCAATCTAATAGTGATGCTTTTAACTATACCTGACTAAAAAGGAATATTTCCAAAAGTATTTCTAGAAGTACCTGGAGTTTTACAATTATGTAAACATTGGTGTTATTAGCTTGTGTGTCCATATCTTCTCTAGCTATAGAATAAGAAATAATATAAGCACTGTGCACTACTTTCTCCTGCTCCATTGTACTGTCTTTAATTCTGAAGTCTGGTATCTTCTTCCTGTCAGATATTCCCATATAGGAGGCAATGAGGCACCTTCTCATAATATTACTTGTGACTTTAATTTTACAGAGGATGATACTTTTCTGATAAACTATGAGAAACATAATCTTTGTATGCAACCCAGAGAAACTTCTGTCATCTCACTTGGCAAATGCAATCAGAATAATGAGATCCAAAGGTTTAAGTGGACTTCCAGTCAGCAAATACTGAACATGGGACTGAAGTTATGCTTGGGAGCATCAGCAGACTTCAGCCAACTTGAATTCTCCTCCTGCAATCAGACCAGTGAGCTGCAGAAGTGGGCATGCGTCAATGATACCTTTCCTGCAATCAGAGGACAAAACCGGTTTTTGTCTTATGGTGCTGGACGTGTCCAGTTGGATAATGCACCTGATGTCAAAGCAACCTGGAAGATTGATGGAACCAAAGACACACTGTGCACTAAAGGCTTTGAAGGTAAATTTCAGAGGGCTTGTTTCCAGAGTTCAACTGAGCACCCTATTAACCATGTTGAATCCCCTGTATTTAACCATGCTGCAACTTCACCTGCAACAGTCTGGCCAAGTGATGTATCTTCAAGGCCTATTTCTTTCAATTGATTTTTTATAAAATTAAATGGAAGAGAATCAAGAAAATTCAGAAATGTGTAAGTGATGTGAAGATGTCATGTTTTTTCCCCCTGGGCCAATTTCCTTAAAAACCAAGTTACAGACAAGAAGACTTTCTCATTCACTTCAATGGAAGGTAACATAGACAGCATATGTACAATGGAATGTGAGCCCCAAATGGGTGCGTCCATTGAAGTGAACAATGGCACACTTGGAGTGGTGGACTGAGGACTTTGTGACATTTCTGTATTAATGATACTATTTATTTCACTTTGTCTAAAGCTCAGTTTACCATAGAAGGCAATTCCAATGGAGCCCCCTGTGTATTCCCATTCAAGTATAAGAATGAGTGGTATGTTGAATGCACAACAATAGACAGTGAAAATCTACAGCCTTGGTGTGGAACAACTGCTGATGTGGATAAAGACTCTTTAACTGGATATTGTCCAGTAAAAGGTAAAACTCTCTCAATGCTTTGTTTCCACCCTTTAATCTGCCATCACACACTTGATGCCTGGAAGAGTAGGATTCATCCCTCACCCCAGTTTCATTCACTCTCTCTCCTTTCTCCATGAAAGAGGTCCACTTGTGGCTAGACTTCTTTGCTACAAGTACAATATAAGATTCAATGCAGAGCGGTGGTGGTAAAGTTCTGATGCTAGAAATGGTTTAGAATAATTAAAATCATCATGGTACAAGGAGTGCTTCTTTAGGATGAGCTTCATGGCCACATCATTCAAAATGAGATTTAAAGGCTTCCTTTCGTAGTTGCTCACCACCAATTCATACCCCATCAGTATGCGTGAGAATCTGGGGTGTTTTGACTAACCATTGACTCTCTTGTTGCCCTGTTTGGAGAGATGCTTTAGGAAATCTTCACTGTCCATTTGGCTTTTCACTATCCTCAATATTTTTACTTCATCCACTGAACTACCCATAGATGATACAGATAATAAATGAACAAACTTAATAGCACTGATCCCAATGCAAATGCCTGGGAGATCCTATTGCTTATTCCTTGCATAATATCAACTGTTTACTCAGACTCTCCGATTCTAGTTCTTTAAGCAGTTTACAAGTTATGGGGCTCCTCCCTCCCCCATGTCATTTTTCTGTTGCAAACAGAACTGGGGGAGGTATTCTTCATTCATTAGCCTTTATTGGCATAAATGAAAGAAAACACAAGCAATTACATACAGTTATCAATGCATATATATATATTTATATATATATATTATAACTAAGAGCATAAAACAGAGAGTTCTAAATCTGATCTCGCCCTTTAAATCCACCCAGCATTCGTGCCTATGGTGCAGCTAATTGTGCATGTGATCACAACCTTATATTGTTTTTGCTATCCCACACGTTTTGGTAAGAAACATTAACTGAAAACACTTATTGGCTAAAACTTTCCCCATCAAGTTTGGACAATTTTTCAGGGATTATATCTCTATTGGCTAAAATTTTCACCATCGAGTTTGAAAAAATTTTCAGGGATTGTATCACTCACTGTGGAATTCTACCTAATTATAGAGAGATAGGAAAAGATCTCCAGTTTTATGATCAATTAAAATTCTTTTTTGTACCAAGGACACATGCTTAGAATATTACTTAGAAAAGTTGTATATAAATTATCAATATGATCAAATCCTTGTGGAATTGGATTTACCATGGGGCACTGCTATCAGAGAGACCAGGTGAATTTTCTTGAACTGGTAGCCACTCCTCAGAGTCTCAATCCCCACAGCTAAGTTTCTCCCTGACAAAAAATTTAGTTCACATGCCAGTTCTCTCATTTCAGCCTCCACTCAGACAGAAAGCCTTTCTTTAAGATCACTGAATGTCAGACCAAGTTAAAGATTTCTCTTCAAGATTCTGAGATGGATTGAAAATAGTATTATTAAACAATATTTACAGATGACAATGAACACTTTTGGATTAGAAATCATTGGACTGGAAATCAATACCAGATAAATTCTGACTCAGCTCTTACATGGCTCCAAGCAAGAAAAAGCTGTCAGCAACAGAATGCAGAATTATTAAGCATCACAGAACTACATGAACAAACCTACTTGGCAGGTAGGACCTTTTTAAAAATAAAGCATATATAAGTGATTAATCTCTGTGAAAATTCTTTTTTTCTTTTTTTGTAGGAAGATATTTCAAAATTAGAATATTTTCATTGGGGGTGGAAGAGATGGGCAGAAATGATATATAACAATACCAATAATAAAAATGGAGGTAACTTTGTAATAACACTAAATCCAGATAATATGTTGCTAACAAGTAAGAATTTTTGCTTTTCTACAAGGTCTTTGAAATTTTGAGGAGAGAGGATTTCTTTTCAGTTTCTGCTTAAACATTCAGGCATAGGTTCCTGAGTTTCACTGACTCTTCAAGTTTAGAAGGCAGGAACATACAACCAAGTTCCCCAAATCCTTCTCTATACACAGACCAGGGATCACTCCTTGTTTCAGAGCTATTTCCTTTTCCAGTGGGCAAGGATTACTGATCTTGACAAGAAGCACTGTCCCTTTTTGGATTGAATGGGGATCTACTGTGATCCACTCACTCCTTCAGCCTCTTTCCCAGTCTGCAGTCAGTGCTTAACTGTCTCTTCTTCAATTGTCATTTCCCAACCATCATTTCTTAACTGACTGTCTCCACAGAATAATGTTTGAACAGCCTGCCATTCAAAGGTTTTCAGACTCTGTGAAACATTAACACTTGACAGTCTGTCACAGCTGTCTTTAGTGTTCTCTATGATATATAGGTCTACTTCTTTTAATAAGAGGAGCCAGTCTGGGATAAGACACTTTCAGTTCATTTATTCTCAGTGAGTGGCCCATGTCATTTAAGGTTGCTGTTATTGTACTTGCAATGCAGAGAACAAGCTTCATGATCTGATTAATTTCTGTTTGATAGTCAGCTGCTAAAGGCACAGGAACCATGCCACAAATAAGTTGGCAACCTTAATTATACCAAGTCAGTTTAGGTCCCCCCCCTTCAGCTTCCTAGCTATAAAACTCCAATAATTATGCAATACATTACTCCTCCTTTTCTTCCCTTTAAATAGGATTAACAACTGATCTGAACACTGACTACTGGATTGGGCTTAACAGTTTGGAAATGGACAGTGGATGGCGGTGGGCTGGTAACCATCCTTTCAGATATTTAAATTGGGCTCCAGGTGAGTGATCATTTATCGACAGTTGGTGAATACCATGTCCTCTAAAGCCACAGGAATACTATCCTCCACAGAACATGGCTACACATTGACCATAATCATTGGGCACAACCCAGTGAAAGATTATCATTACCATAACTGTTTTTTAACTATTGCCAGCTGCACCCTTTCCCCCATTCTCTAGTTCATACAATATGTATAATTGAAATAAAACTGACAAATGAGACAAACAGTTGTTTGTTGCCATGATAAAAATGGGAATGTTAACACAAGGCAGGCCCATTGAATATCTGTATATTTCTTTCTTAAGGGAGCCCATCACCAGAATCAGAGAAAATCTGTGCAACGATGCGGTCTCAGAGTGGCAAATGGGAGAATAAGGAGTGCGGCCATAAACTTGGATACATTTGCAAAAAGGAAAACTCTTCATTAAACACCCCAGTCATCTCTTCAGGTAGGGTCAACTGAAAGTGAACTATATGAACGATACGGAATGGGGTCCCACCGGTTTCTTCTGTTATTGGTGGCACTTTTCCTGTGGTGCAGGAACCTGTCCATTGATACAAGTGGCTTTCATATCTGTGGAAAGTACTATTGCTAGTGGAACAGGTCTGCAGGAACTAATCATGTATAAGTTTCTAAAATAATCTTTGATATAAAGTGCCCCCCCCAGCAGTACAAGTGGTAGCCTTCAAGTAGTATTTATTTATATATTTATACCCTGTCTTTCTCACTGAGACTCAAGGTAGATTTTGAATCGAATTCCAGTCAAACAGTATTAATAGCATGTGATAGCAGAAATTAAAACACAATGCACTGAGAGCAGTATAATATACACAATAAAGACATAATATATATCTTGACAGTGGCATAAACCACACTACTGTTTCCTTTATAGAAGCACCTTTCTGAGTCATCCTGTTATATTATTGCCCTACTCCTTTTGTAAAAACGCACCATAGAACAATTCTGTTTTATAATGTTCGCAGGATGATGGGAGCCTTCCTGGCCTCCTCAGCTTGGCCATTCCACAACACGGGGGCCACAACAGAGAACACAGGTGTATGGGCAGCTGGCACCTTCAAAAGCCTTTGCTTAGAAGAGTGGAGCTATTGTGTTGGGGCATAGCAAGGGAGTCCTGCAGATATCAGGATCCCATAACATGTAGGGTTTGTATGTTATAACAAGTGCCTTACATTGAACCTTATGATTGATAAATAACCAAGCTATCCAGTTTGGTGTAGTGGTTAAGTGTGTGGACTCTAATCTGGGAGAACCGGGCTTGATTCCCCACTCCTCCACTTGCACCTGCCAATGTGACCTTGGGTCAGTCACAAGCTCTGGCACAGCTGTTCCTGAAAGAGCAGTTTGTGTCAGAGTGTCTGTTGTGGGGAGGGTGTCTGTTGTGGGGAGGGGAAGGGAAAGGAGTTTGTAAGCTGCTCTGAGACTCCAAGTGAAGGGCAGGGTATAAATCCAATATCTTCTTCTTCTTCTAACTAATGGGATGACTGCAGTTTGCAAGCATATCCATCTAACTCTTGATAACAACTGAGCTGTGGCATCCAGAACCAAATGCAGCCTCCGAGCTAACTTCAAAGGAGTCTATTGTAATTGTCTAGTCTCTACTACTAGTAGTAGTACTATTGCTACTACTACAGCAGCAGCAGCCTACCACTGGTAGTACCAGTAGCAACCATCTAAAACAATTCATTGGATCTACATCCTTGAGGAGATCTGGCTAGTGGCAGATGGCCTAAAATGAGAGAATCTGGCAGATGAAATTAAGGCATCATTCAAGATATGTATTTTAAGACAAGGTTATGACACACCCACGTAGGTCCTTTGTTCCTATATACGAAAACCCATAGAATCACAGAATCATAGAGTTAGAAGGGTCGTCTAGTCCAACCCCCTGCACAATGTAGGAAATTCACAAATACATTCCCCTCCACACCCGCAGTGACTACAGTCCCACACCGAGAAGATGACAAAAAACCTCCAGGATCAATGACCAAACTGGCATGGAGAAAAATTGCTTCCTGGCCTCGAAGTGGCAATCAGCATTTCCCTGGGTGTGTAAGAAAGGGCCACAAGGACTAAACACTGAGGCAACCCTTACTACTCTCCCTCTCGAGATCTGCCTAAGTTTATAAAGATGTTGAACAAAACAGGTTCCAGGACAGATCTCTGAGGCACTTGTTAGATCCCCAAGCATAAGAATAGAGGGTCGTGAGAATATAAGGGTCGTGTGCAAACAGCCAAGGGGCACCCAATACCAACGCAAACTGAGAGTCAGGAGTGACAATAAAGGGTCTCTCCTCCCAGTGGTCTCCTAGCCCCAGTCTCAACGGCATAGATTCGTGGAGACATGGTTTCATTGGAGCCCCATCCATTTGAGTGAATATTATGGGGGATTTCAAACGTTTGATGCCCGCCTCCAACCCCGCAACCACATTTGGGCTGATCAAGTCTCTCCCACATCCCGAGTCAATAAGCGCTTTGACCCTCACATGGGTGCCCAAAACCGGATTAATTAGAGAAACAGTCACGAAAAAAAGAGAGGGGGGTTCTCTCACCACTACCGGCGCCTCAGATCCAGAGTCCTGCTGTTGAGCGCCTTTCACAACAGGACGGTCTCGTTTCCCGAAGACTCAGGCTCCGAGTCAGTCGATTCGTTCAGAGGATCCTCTGTAGCCTCCGGAGCAGCTTGCAGTGCCTTTGAGAACATGGGTTTGGCTACCCCCTTCTTGGCTGGGGTGGTCGTCTTTTGCTTCGGGGTTGTCAGCTTGTCTTTGTTTGCCACCACTCCACATTCCGCAGCAAAATGTCCCTTTTCTCCGCATCGCAGACAGAGACCCATTCGCATGCGGAGCTCGCGAGCAGTGTCCGATACGCGGGACGGCTTTGGCCTTGGGGTTCCGGCGGTCTGCGGGCGTCCCTCTGAAGCTGCCAGGTCCAGTCTGATAGTTTGGAGGCGGCTTTCAGCGTTTCCCGCCTCCTGTGCACATGCCATTAGTGAGATGGGGTCCACAGATCTGAGAACCGTCTCCCTGATTTCAGGGTTGAGCCCCAGTCTGTACATCTCAGCCAATATGTGATCAGGGCAATCCCGCAACTTAGCCGCATGGTTGTGGAATTCAGCGGTGTAGTCCCGCACAGATCTCCTACCTTGTTTGAAG